CAGAAGGCTGGCGCTTCAAACCCACCAGCCACTCCTCGGAAGGAAGGTTGGGCATTCCTACTTCCATAGTGATACTGCCTCGGAAACCCAAGGAGGGGTCGCCATGAGTTGGAGCCGACTTGATGGCAAACAACAACAACAACAAAGGGTCAACATGAGTTAGAATCAGCGCACAACATTATCATTGGAGTACCTGCATGGTGCAATTAACACTCTGGCTGCTATCCCAAAAGTTGGAGGTTTCAGTTCACTCAGAGGTGCTAGTCTCTGTATCTCTTACCTCTACTCTTTAAAGATTCTGTTGAAGTAGGATTGCCCCCATTTTACAGATAAAGAATTAAAAATTCAGAGAGGTTAAGAAACTTGCATAAGATCCCATAGCTGGTGAGAGGCTGAGGCAGAATTTTGGCTGTAAAATCTTTGTTTACCACAGGTTTTCTCATTTTTGGTAGGATTTCTGGTGGTGTAGTGGTTAAAGCATTGGGCTGCTGACCAAAAGCATTCCACTCCTAAAGGGTGGGTACAGGTCGGAATTGACTGTACGACAGTGGTTTTGTTTCCCCTTATTTGCAAGTAAGGGTTGGAGGCTGCATTAGTGAGAGGTTTTTGACTGAAGCTACTTGATGGCGAGGCTACTCGTTAGGCCCACCTGGTGTCCAAGGAGCAGGGACATCTCACCAATGAGTTTATTTCTGAGGACACTGAAACTGTGCCTCCCCCCACACACACACCACCCAGATAAGAAGGAGGGGATGACAATACTAAACTTACTAACTAGTTGTCAGAGAGTTGATTCTCACTCATGGTAACCCCATGCGTGTCAGAGTAGAACTGCGCTTCCACAGGGTTTTCAATGGCTGATTTCTTGGATGTAGATTGCCAAGGCTTTCTTCTAAGGCACCTCTGAGTAGACTGAACAGGGAGGAAATACGAAGAGAGCTGTTACATTATGGGGATTGTAGTCAATGTCTTGAAACAAAATGTGTATGAACTTCTGTATGAAAGTGAATTTGCTCTGTGAACTTTCGCCCAAAGCACAATAAAAAAAAATTTTAATTAAAAAAAAAGTCAAATGACATTGCATTGAGCAAGTCTACTGCAAAAGACCTCTTTAAAATGTTAAAAAGCAAAGATGTTGCTTTGAGGACTAAGGTGTGACTGACCCAAGCCATGGTATTTTCAATCACTTCATGTTGTTGTTATTAGGTGCTGTCAAGTCAGTTACAACCCATAGTGACCCAACGTACAAAGAACAAAACACTGCCCAGACCTGTGCCATCCTCACAATCCTTCTTATGCTTGAACCCATCATTGCAACCACTATATCAATCCATCTTGTTGAGGGACCTCCCCTTTTTTGCTAACCCTCCACTTCACCAAGCATGGTATTCTTCTCCAGGGACTGGTCCCTTCTGACATGAACAAGTAGGTGAGAGGAAGTCTGGCCATTCTCACTTCCAAGAAGCATTCTGGCTTAACGTCCAGGGGAGATTTGTTCATTCTTCTGGCGGTTCATGTGATTTTCAATGTTCTTCGCCAACACCACAATTGAAATGCATCAATTCTCCTTTGGTTTTCCTTATTCATTGTCCAGCTTTCACATGCATATGAGGCTATTGAAAATACCGTGGTTTGGGTCAGGGGCATTTCAGTCTTCAGAGTGACATCTTTGCTCTTTGACACTTTAAAGAGGTCGTCTTGCAGCAGATGTGCCCAGTGCAATACCATCTTTGATTTCTTGACTGCTGTTTTCATGGGCATTGATTGTGGGACCAAGGAAAATGAAATCCTTGACAGCTTCAATCTTTTTTCCATTATCATGGTGTTTCTTATTGGTCCAGTTGTGAGGATTTTGTTTTCTTTATGTTGAGGTGTAATCGACATTGAGGAGTGGTCTTCATCAGTAAATGCTTCAAGCAATTTCCCTTTCAGCAAGCAAGGCCGTGTCATCTACATATCCCAGGTTGTTAGTGAGCCGTTTTCCAATCCTCATGCTGCATCTTTTTTTTTTCAAGTAGTCCACTTTCTTGGATTATTTGCTCAGCATACAGATTAAATGAGTATGGTGAAAGAATACAACCCAGACATACACCTTTCCTAATTTTAAACCATGCAGTAGCCCCTTGTTCTGTTGGGATGACAGCCTCCTGGTCTATGTACAAGCTCCTCATGAGCATAATTAACTGGTGCTAGATTCCCATTCTTTGCAATATTATCCATATTATTATAATATTATCCAATTTATTATGACCCACAAGTGAAATGCCTTTGCATAGTCACTAAAACACAGGTAAACTTCCTTCTGGTATTCTTTGCTTTCAGGGAAGATCCATCTGACATCAATAATGATATCCCTCATTCCCCATCCTTTTCTGAATCTGGCTTGAATTTCTGGCAGTTCCCCATCAATAGTGCTGCAATCACTTTTGAATTATCTTCAGCAAAATTTTACTTGTGTGTGATATTAATGATATTGTCTGATAATTTCCACATTCTGTTGCATCACTTTTCTTTGGAATGGACACAAATATGGATATCTTCTAGTCAGTTTTCCAGTTAGCTAGCTATCTTCCAGATTTCTTGGCATAAACAAGTGAGCACCTCCAGCACTGCATCTGTTTGTTGAAACATCTCAATGTTTCAATTCCTGGAGCCTCATTTTTCAGTGCAGCTTGGACGTTTTCCTTCAATACCATTGCTTCTTGATCATATGCTACCTCCTGAGATGATTGAAGTCGACCAATTCTTTCTGGTACAGTGACTCTGTGTACTCCTTCCATCTTCTTTTGATACTTTCTGCATCATTCAATATTTTCCTCGTAGAATCCTTCGATATTAGAACTCGAGGCTTTAATTTTTTCTTCAGTTCTTTCAGCTTGAGAAATACATATTGTTCCCTTTTGGTTTTCTAACTCCAGCTCTTTGCATATTTAATTACAATACTTTGTCTTCTTGAGCTGCCATTTGAAATCCTCTGTTCAGCTCTTTTATTTTATCATTTCTTCCGTTCACTTTAGATACTCTTCATTCAAGAGCAAGTTTCAGAGTCTCTTCTGACATCCATTTTGGTCTTTTCTTCCTTTCCTGTCTTTTTTTTTTTTTTAAT